TTATTTTATTTTATTTTATTTTATTTTATTTTATTGAATTTTATTTTATTTTTTCTTCACTTATTTGTTCCAATTTATATTATTATTTTTGTGTGAATATCATTTCATTTGATTTGATTTCATTTTTTAACTTTGATAATTTTTTTATTTACTTTACTTTTATTTGATTTTTTTATTTTATTTTTTATTTTTTTTTATTCCACTCAATTTTTGTTTTTAACTTGTCATAGATACGCGCCAATACTGCTGTTGATAAAAATTAAAATTTTTAATTTCAAAATCTATACATTTCACAAAGGCAACGACTACCACTAAAACTTATTTTAAGTTACATATTTTACGAAAATTTTGTGAACTTGGGTTTTTATGTCTCTTTTTTTCCTAACATTGGTTTATTAAATAGCTGCAGGGCTTGCTGGGGTTGTTTTGAGTTTACTACAACTACGTAATTTTTTTATATTTTAATACCAAAAAAAGTAGTTTCGTTAACACCACAATTTTGGTATATTTTTTTTTTTTGATTTTCTTGTTAATATTTTTTATTTCCCAATAATTTTTAGATTCTTAATAATCACTAAATTACGCACTATTTCCTCGCTACCACTTTAAAAAAAAAAATCCGTCGAAAAATTCACACACTGATATGTAATATGATTAGCTGTTTATATTTTCCTTAGATTCCATTTAACTACTCTCTTTCTTCTACAACAACTAACTTTAGAGTGGGTTTTGCATTCGTAGAAAAATCAAAAAAAAAAAATATGTATATAAGAAATGTAAAATTACTTTTCTTTTTCATATTTTTTTTTAACTAAAAGTTTCATTTTGCAATTCGCTTTTAACTGGAAGGTATTTACTGATAGCTATTGTGAAATACGTACATACAGATTGAGTAGCACAAGTTGTGCTTGCCTAAGTAGTTCAATAGAATACATCAAATACTATTTGTTTATTTAGTAAAATATTTTTCGAAGTTGTACTATTCGTTTTTTTTAGTATTTTTTTTTTTTGGCAATGCACGAGTTTTGTATTCTTCTCATCTTCAACTCCGCCATTGCACAGTTTTCTTGCACTATTTTAAGATATGTATTGTTTACAATTTTTTTATTTTATTTTATTTTATTTTATTCTTTTAGCTCAGCTTTGTTTGTGTTCTAATTTTTTTTCGTATTTATCATTAAATTTAGTATTTTTCTTCTTCATTGTCCTTACCGATCCTGCTTCCGCATTTTATTATTATTTTTATGATTGAATTGGAATGTCGACATTGAGATACCACTGAAAGCCATTGAATATGTTCGTATATTTGCTGTTGTTGTTAGCTTATTTCATTTTTTTCTCTCAAAATTTAATTTAAAAAACAAAAAGCGCATATTTTCCAACAACAAAAAAAAACACGTTTAGCAGGTGAGTAAATTTTTGCGCAAACGAAAAACTCTAACACACACATACATATAGGTACATATGTAGGATAGCACTAAAGTAAACGATTAAGTGATGTAGAATTTTTTATCTCATGCGATTTTTTCTCAAATTTTTGGTAGCACAAACACTGTAGCTGCTTGTACTGCTACATTTATATATCCACAATCCACTATTACAATTACATATTTACTCCGTTTATTTATGTATCTTCCTTTCACTAAACTTCTTGTTCTTCCTCATCCTATTTTACATCTTCTTGCTTTTTTGTGTACAGAAAATAAAATCGATTTTTTTTGTTCACATATTATTTTTTGCAATTTTTTTTGTGTAATTTTTTCAAAGGCTTTTCTATAAAATGTTCAAAACATAAATCCAAAAATAAAATAATTAAAAAAATATGTATAGAAATGGAAAATACTTGAAGTTTAATTTCTTTTGGGTTTTTTTTTTTCATTTTACCTTCACTTTAAAATTTGAGAAAAAATTATTGTACCAACTGTTTTATTTCCATTTATGTATGTCGTTTTCCTTTACTGTATCTGTTTGTATTGATGACTGTTTTTTTTGATTGTTTGTTCACCTGTTTGTTTGTATGTCTGTTTTATGAATCTGTTGCGTGTTCGATGGGTGTGTTTTTTGTTGTTTTGTGCTTGTGTTCGCATTCGTTATTTGAGCGCCACTCTACTTTTTCCACAACTACTATTCATTTAGTAGTTATAGTTGTCGTAGGGTGTGCCCAAGTACGAATAGAAACTGGGATTGATGGGTTGTGCGTGTGCATAATAAAATCCAGAAGCGGGATCTGGCGCCACTCAGTCTAGGAAGCCGGTATTGACTAATTTTTCCAAAAAGAATTTCACGTCGCCAAGTTCGGAGTCTTTGATGCCCAGGGATTTTAGCATGCCTAGATCGCCATTTTCAACAGCCATAAAGACGGATCGTAAGTGTTCCAAATCGGATCTGAAAAAAAGAGACAAATACACATAGTAGGAACAATTAAAATTTGTTATCAGTTTAAATTTTTGTCTTGAGATTATTTTTAACAGATACATATTTAAAACTGCTTTCGCTTTTAACCGACTTCCAAAAAAAGGAGAAGGTTATCAATTCGTCGGACTTTGAGATTTAAAAAAATGATTATTTCAAAAAATTCAAAAAATTCGGTGCAAAGTAGGATAACAAAGAGGGTATCATATAACAGAAAAAAATCGGTAGAATTATAACACAAGATTTTTTTGTGCATAAGGACGAATGGGTATAGAAAATGTTTGAGGACTACTATACGCACAACCTCATCATCGAATTTCGTCCTGCAAACTTTATTAATTTAACAAAAAAAAGATACATTTTATTAGTCCTTTTAAATCAAAAAACTTTATTGTTTTTAAATTTTACACAATTTGTTCTCTCATTTGGTATTTCGATATTCTACATTGCACTGATTTTTTATAATAATTTTTTGAATCAAGCATATCTTTAAAATTTCAAAGTCCTTTGAAAATCCTGACGTCAGAGTGAAAAACTAAAAACGTAGTTTTACTATATTTGGCCCAGAGTTTCGTGAGTGTGTTTTGAAATTTTTTTGTTTTTGTCGCACGGTGTAATAGCTGAATCAAGGAAAAAGTTGCTACGCTACAGGCAAAAATATTTTGGCGATGGAGGAATTGGACTTTAAAAAGATTAAAGAATCTAGGCGACCTTCACATAAGCCTATTTTACTGACTATATGTGCTTTTTGTTTAGCCAAGGCAGTCTATAGGATGTATTAGTAAAAGTGGAGGCAACCAAACAAACTGCTAATGCCATCGTATTTTACCCATTACAGGGACAGTCGGCTAATAGAAATCAAAGATATACAAGATAAACTTCCTACTCAAAGTGTTGTTGCAACATCATTACTTTCAATGTGCAACAGAGTAGTAATACTTGTATACAAATGTTACAACTAGTTATTCAAGAAAGTATAAACTCATACGTTGCCATCGAATATTATTTTGGGGAATTTCAAAATGCAGAATAAAAAAACTCCCCTTGCTGGGACTTAATTACGAGCATATTTCGTGCAAATCAAATTGCTTCAAGCACACATGTGCAGAGTCAAAAAATATAAAGTGATTGAGTGCGCCACAGAGTGAAAATGGAGAGGTAGAAGAAAAAATGGAAGGTGCAAAAAATTCAAAGTCACCATAAACAAAAACAAATTNAAACATTTTTACCTACATATAAAGCAATAAAAACTGATATCCTCAGAGTCTGCTGGCAAACATATCCTTTATTTTTCGTTTATGGTGTTCGGCTCTTAATTAATCCCGGCAGGCGCATTTGCCGGTTCGTCTAGTTGAAAGCTATGCCAGTGCAAGCATTCACACACACACACACATTATCAGCTAATGCTTATAAGCCGGTTAAGCATATGTTAAGGCGTTGATACCGGCACACATATGGCTACACAAGTACATACCACATAAATATATTTGCAGGGAATTCATGCGCCTTTTTTTAGTTCCGTTGTATGCACTTTGCTCTACTTTCCGGCTTAGCCGATAAGCTTATTGCATGTGTACACATTTATTGTTTTGTGAATATAGCATACTGTGGGTATGTAGGTATGTACATACAAGTGCAACCTTAATGAACGCACAGCCACTAAAACCCGTTTGCTTGACATCAATTTCTACGGCATGTAATTGCCATACATATTTACATTGTGTTGCTGGTTGAGGTCAATGCTGCTTTTGCATGTTAGTTTTCTGGCTCACAGCAGGTGATATGTGACCTCAAATCAACATTTCCATAGTCTAAATAAGAATTATAGCGAAGCAAGAATTTCTCCTACGCACTATTTGCATTTTTCTGCTTTTATTACCACAATTTGCGGATCATCATCATAGAATTGTTGCACAATTGGTTTTTTTTTTATTTGTGCTTACTTTCACAACGTCTCATTACGCGTAGAGTCTAGATAAAGCGTAAAAATATTTGCTTGTGTTCATCAAATTTTATTTCTGTTCATTTTATTTTGCACGCCCTCAGGTCTCTTTAGATGGTTGACCAGTTGGGATTTCGCTAGTTTTATTTTCTTGTTCTTTCATTTCGTTAATTTAGTTTTGTGTATTGACCTGGTTATCGTTATGTCAGGAAGCCACGGGAGTTGACCTGTGCTCCTTATTCAACTACATTGGACAAGAATGCTTACTCAGTTTTGTGGAGTTAATTTTTTGTTACATCTACGTAAATATTTTACGACTCTCGCAGTTCTTCCTACTTCCGTAAATTCCTTAAGCAAAAATAAACGTTTAAGTAGTGATAGTCCAAGGAAAGGAGTTATACGAGGATCACTAAAGAAGTCTACACAATTCGCAACACTAAATGACTTTTGCGTTGTTCTGACCTGTGTACCGCAAAATTTGACATTTGCGCCAATTCACCGTGTTTTAGCGCGACTACTAGAACCAAGCGCATTTTTTTCATTGAACTTAAGAAATTTTTGCATATGCACTTCTCAATAGCCATATAATAAAACTTTCTTAAGTTGTAATTTGACGAGACTTTAAAGTATATTCAACCTGGTCTGCGGCATCTTCCGGAGTTTCCTGCTGTGGTAAATGAATTTTTTGTTAGAATAAATATTTTCTTTTTTATAAATCTATGCACACATACCAGTCTACTCTCGCACTTTTTAGAAAGAAATATTCACTACTACTACTCGATAAATTTCAGTCAAAATGTCGCATGTTATACATACCTTGCATACGGTGCAGTGAAATAAGGCCCGCTTAAACAACGCCCGCGGGCTTTATTTCCTCTTTGCTGAGAAACAAAACCAGCGGCAGTAATGCCCTTTGGAAGGAAATAATGCCCTTTATTTCCTTTTGGCGGTGGGCTTTATTTCCTGAAAAAGGGAAGGCTCTTGTTTACATTTAAAAATGCATCCAAAACCCCCCGTGTTTTATTTCAATACTAAATCAAAACTAATTTGAGGATTACATTAATTCAATTCGACTGATTTTCATACAGAAGCACAACAAGTGAGAGTGGCGGCAAATGACATCAAACCGACTATTTCAGTCGGGAACATGGATCGAGAGCAGTTACAGAAACGCACTACAGATTCAAGGAGAGATTCACCATCGAACCGAATCATTGTTGCCAACAGCGAATAAAGAGCAGAATGTAGATATTCCATTGACAACTCTGGTATCGAAATTGATCAGCGTTGTGCGATTGGCCCCGCTATGAACTAACAAATCATTGAAGAATTGGAAGAACTTCTTCAAAAATACCACAAAAATAATTGTTGGTGAACATTTAAGACTAAAATATTTCAAAAAAGATATTAATTATAGGCGTTCGCCTGTTCTGGTAGTTTTATAAATTTATTATATTACAATTCACTTTCAAACAATATCTGTGTTGAAAACAACGACATTTGGAATACGACATTTTGCCTGTTTAGAGTAAAGCAAAACTCCATAACAATCAGATGGATTCGATCTTTATTAAAGGATTTCGAACTATTTTGGCGTTATGGTATTTTTGGAGCTTTTTTGAACTTAGAAAATTTTCTTTTCATTCAATATAAAAACAAGAAAATATAAAACAAGGTAAAGACCCCTTTCGAAACCATGCATTTTTAATTTATCTAGCCTTCTGTATCAAAATATGAGTTTTCATAATAAGTGGAGTTAGCAACTTGTCACTCTAAGTGAAAATTAATGTTAAACAAGTAAGAAAGTCTAAGTTCGGGCGGAGCCGAACATTAAATACCCGGCGCAAGTACCGCTATATGGTAAGCCGGGGTGTATTAATTCTGAGTAAATTAACGTTCTTAAATTTAAATAAATTGGTAGAACGGTTACCGAGATATATATATGTGATCATAAGTGGGCGGTTCCACGCCCATTTTTAAAAATTTTATCATAAACGTATTTCTTGATAAAGAATAGTTGCAAAATTGTATAAACATTTTCAACGTTATTTTCTTTTTCACTGCTTACCAAGCATGTTAGTACTAACTGAAACAAAATTGATCATTAAACCAGCTAACCAATGAGCAACTCATTAAGTTCAATGTAATTATAATCGTTGTTTGTCTACTTGTCGTCGTATTTTCTATGAATTACTTAATGATTACTTTCGCGATTCGATATTCTTTGCTTACTTGCATTTTCAACGGCTCATTAGCGTCAGTTACATGTACCTTACACATCACATATGCTAACCAAAGAATAAACTAATCAACGATATATTATTATGGCTCATCAAAATCAAATTCATCATCCTTCTAATCGACTAAATACTACATAGTATAAGGCAATTCAATTAGTTAGCCAGCTTTCAGTTAGATACATACGCATCTTTACGCTCGTAGAAGAAGAGCTCCTTTTTTTTATGGGCTGATTACACAGTGTACATACTAATGAAAATAGACACTACATATGTACATATATATTTATTATGTGAACTTAATTAATTATAACTTCATACTTGCTCATACATACATACACATGTATTTAAGTGTTAGTATGTGTTAAACGAGCAGTTAGACGACTGCTTTTTCCCCGACTATGCTGCTGAACTCCTCAATCAGACCTGTGCTCTTATCAAGTTACATTAATTTATTTGTTATCTTATACGCGTTACTAATGTACATAGTATTTATGCGTAATTTTATACAGCGCTGGTACATTTTCTGCTCTGTAATATTTGACCATTTCATTTTAGAAATTAATTAAATTATTTTGATATATTTGATAAAGTAAAATAGAATGCGTGATTTATGTTATGCAATAATTAGCTATCTAGTTTTTCTCGTAACTAAAATGTGTGTCTGGTGGTATTCAATGTGATGCTGAATTTGGTAAAAAAAATTGAATGAAAAACGAGTAAACAAACAAAAAAAACTTCATATAAATATCGTTCTTTTAGAAGATTATTTTTCCCAATGTCAAACAGTTTCAGTAATATGCTATGATATATATATTGAAATAATCGGACCAAATTTGGTGGGTGGTGCCAAGCCCATTTAATAAAAATCAATAATCTTGTGTCTTGTTGAAAAACTGTTGCAAGTTGGTAAAAACTAAAGAATTGAAAGATCGGAGGTTTCGTATTTCTGTAAATTACCGTTATATGGGAAGTAGGCGTGGTTCTTATCTAATTTCAAAAATTTGCAAGGAGTTTCTTAGTGAGGCCCTATGCAATGTTCCCACCGAGTTTGGTAGGGATTGGTTAAGGGACCATAGAGATAAAGCATTTAATCTTAAGTGGACGGCGCCACGTCTATTTTTCTAAAATTATATAACTGTCTTATTTTATGCCAAAACTCTACTTCAAAAACCAACTTTCATCAATTTCAATCCAGTATTTGCGAAAATACCTTAATTGCGTGGTTATTTCCTGATTTCGCCCATTTTCGATCCCAACCTATCTTAGATAAATGGAAACCTACATACCAAATTTCGTTGAGATATCTTAATTTTTGTTCGATGTATCGTGTACACGGACGGACGGACGGAAGGACGGACACGGCATAATCGATTTCTCTTTTCATTCTGATCATTTATGTATACATTTGTCTATATCTATTTCGATTCGTTTTGGCTGTTACAAACAACCGTTATGCGAACAAAGTTATAACACCCTTGTGCACAAGTGCGCTCGGGTATAAAAATCAACAAACGTGAGTGTAAATTGATTTTCCCATTGAACAAAAGTTCCAAAAATCTTCAACCTATTATATGACATGGACTTGGACATTATGCGGTTTCAATATGAACAGTGCCATTTGACACACAGCGCATGAAACTATGGCCCTTTTGCAAACGAAGTCACAATAACGAATTGTGCAATGGGCTTAGGACCCGCCACGTAAAATCTCCTTCCAGTGTAAAACAAAGCTAAGGTTTCAGATAGGACACTCCTCTTTATGACAAGGTGGGCAGAGATGGGATCGTTGGCACAATTGTCAAAAAATTCAGCCACCACGATGAAACGTCCGATAACGGAATGAGGCCGATCGACTTCGCCGGGCCCGAAACGTGGTACTTATTAAGTTTTACCAGCAGACAAAGATTATCCAGCTACGTGGCTGTCTCCAGATCGAAAAACGATAAACCAATTTATTCGCCACGCGATGTACAGAAGGTACTTAAATTATGGAGGGAAAACTTTTCCACCCTACTCAATGGTAGCAGCAGTCAATGATGGCGGAGTCGATATTTCATCTCCAGTCTATGAAGGGGTACGTTTAACAATAACGCGGCTGAAAAACAGCAAAGCTGATGGAGCTGACAGCCTACTAGCTGAGCTATTTAATTCAAGGACAGCGAGGAGCAAATAAGGTGTATGACGCTGAGAAATACCACGAGAACCACCAGAATTGGGAAAGACCCCTTCGAGCCGTTTGGCGTGATTTCTTTAATCTGATTTTGAAAAAGATAATAAGAGTTACAGAATTGAAATGCTCAGAAATAAGAAGGTGGAATACAAGAGCGAGGACAAGAAAAAGTATCTCCTGTCATCAAACAAACAGAAGGCTCATTAGTACCGTGGCACCCACGTCACTGTTGAAAGTTATAATTTTTAGAAAGTAGAGAATTTCGTTTACTTGGGAACCAGCATTAACACCGATAAAAATGTCAGCATGAAAATCCAACGCAGAATCACTCTTGCCAACAAGCGGCTCTTTGGACTGATCAGGCAATTCAGGAGTAAAGTCCTCTCTCGATATACGAAATTCACAATCTGTAAGTCACTCATTATCCCGTTCTGGTATATCGGCAGAACCTTGCACAATAAAAACTTGGCATAAGCTGGTCCTTGGAGTATTCGATAGAAAGATTTTGCGAGTGCCGCAGACGATGGGAATAGCTGTATAAGCTTTACAAGGACATGGAGCAAATTAAAATACGTCGGCTACGCTGGCTGGGTGATGTCATTCGAATGGACGGAAACGCTCCAACTCTAAAAGTATTCAACGCGGGTTGCGATGCTTGTAACAGAGGAAGACGGTGACCTCCTCTGTTTCGGAAAGGCCAGATGTAGAAGGACTTGGCTTCACTTGGCATTTCCAATGGCGTCAGTTGGAACAGAAAATGACTGCGGTTCACTCGGTTAAAATTGTTTACGCGATTACAGCGCCAATAAAGAAGAAGAAGACAGTATTATTAAATGTGCGATATGGTCAAATCAAATGCAAAATCCCCTGATTTTGCTTTCATAAGATACGATGTTGGACTTGTACTTCGCTGAAATTCATATAAAGCAATCAGAAAGTTAATTTTGGAAATTTTTGTTAGTTACGGCCTTTTGTACATCTGTTTTTTTTTGCCAACATTCATGATATAAAAATTCATGTATGATACACTTTTTGCTTAACCATAAGAAACAAAAACAAAAAGTGTTATTACTTTTCATTACAACCACATATAATTTATCGCTTGGGCGTTAATTTAAAATGCCTCGCGGGTGAAATACAAAGTATTTTTCTTTTTTTGACAACAGGGCAAGGTCACGTACTTACAAAAATTACCACTGTTTTCATAAAATATAACATTGCAATATCTACTAAAGCCCTTTGGTAAGCTGAAGCCTACAGGTTGCTTTTATACATACATATATTATTTTTGTTAATAAATTTTGTGGCAGCGAGCAGCAACTTTGTCCACAAACATCTGAAATTTGTAATAAAAATGTTGCCGCGTTACATAGCCGACGGGTTGCGAAAGCCAAAGGCCTTAGTTGGTACATATGTAAATTGTTGTATACTGTCTCCTTTTATGCCCTTCATATAACTGTTAACCTTCAGAATTTATTTAGTTTGCATTAGTATTATTTGATACATTTACTGAATTAAAGGGCCAAAATGACTTACAAGGTCAACGCCAATATACAATATTTGACAGGTTGCCGTGAACAACACTCGTACGCCATGTCGGCCAGGAGGCACACGTAGGAAGGTACTCTTCGTCAAAGAGTACATAATTGAGTAGACATTTGGGAGAATTCTATTTTTTTTTGCAGAATCGTATAATTTTGCGGTCGGCTGCATTAGTGCGCACGCGTGTATGTGTGTTGGCTTATTAATAAATGTTTGTGTATTCATATTACGATTACTGCATTCCCTCACATTACCCTCAGGCTATTCGACTTATTCTAGCATTTAATTTTAGCTATGACGCGTCTGCCTTTTACTGTCGCTCAATTACTCACCTCATTAAATGTAATGCTGCGCCAAAATCTTCAATCGTCTGCGATTCGCTCAGAGCTATGGCAACCTTCTCCACACCACCCAAGGGGGCGAGCGCATCACGAGCCTTACTGCCGAACAGCTTCTCCAAATAATTGGGGCCATGCGAAGCGATTAGACTTTGTAGGAATGAAGCGGTCTCCTCAACAGGTGGGCGCTTAGCTGGAAGGAAAATAAATATAAGAAAATTTGTTGAATATTTAAAGTGAAAGTTCGGTGTAATGATATCTTTTTAAATGCATAAATTCCGTATAGTAGTTTGAAGGCTATTCCGCAACTTCGCTCTCCCTTCGAAATAAATTAAAAATAAAAGAAAAAATAATTGCCCAAAATTGCATTGCACTAAACCTGCCCGTTTCTGGGTCAATGTCATTTAAATTTGTTACATCCATATTGACTTGCAATTACATGATACTAAGTGCTCTAAGGAAATATACTCATACTACATATGTATGTGCACATGTATATGCCTGCATCACCACCAACTACTGCAGGCACTCAAATATACGTTATATCGAAGCCTGTAACTCTTTATCCTTCTCTTTTACCTGAATTTTTACTGCAATCCAATCCTTCTAAAAGGCGCCCATCGAGTGTGCTTCACGGCAGGCGCTATTAAATAAAGTACCACAAGGACAGGACACACTCGAATGTATGTATAATCAAGTGTACATACACACACATATAAATGTAGATAAATATATATTCCGGACAAATACATGTTTTTCAAAAGCAAAAACATTACTCTAACAAAAATTTACGTGCAGACAAGAAAGAAAAGTGGAAAGATAGTATTTAAACACATGTCAGCCTGCAGTGCGGTTGTGTTTCAAGTTGAGTAGATTTGAATGGATATCAGATATGTACACAGGGGGACATAGAGATTAGGAGATGATGCAACAAAGTGAGACTTGACAGCTATTAGTGCAAGTTGACTTGGCAAGGTTCAGGTAACTGAATGTAAAATAATAGTCTTAAAGTGGTTAGATGCGCAATAAAAATGTTTTAAATTGCTAAAGATGCATTTAATTCCCCCTTTGGTTTGTTATAAGGTAGCAGAAATTAAATATCTGTGTCTTTAATGAATATGAAATTGCATTAAAACTATGGTGAATTGAGGTAAGAATTCGGTCGACACTTTCTAGAACCGTCAGCAAAAAAAAGATTAAAAACCAACGCGATTTTCTAACGTCTTAAAAATTGCACCTTAATGCTAAAAAGTGCATATCTAAATTTTTCTAAAAATTCTAAATAAAATTATTGAAATTTTTAGGGGTAATTGGTAAAGTTTGTTGAATCAGCTGACAACGAGTATAATTGTTGACCTTTTCTCTGTATGTCTGTATATCTGTGGCCAAGCATGCTTTATATTTGAATATATCTTCTGAAATTCATAAGATGGTTTCCCTTAAAATTCCACATTATTTTTGTGAGTATAAAATTTTTCGTGCGTTTTCTTTAACGTGTAATTTGTTTTTTTTTTTTTAAGCAAAAAAAACAACCGACTTCAATGCTCATATACAAATTTTTGAGTAAGGTTAATTTCTTCATGATCGAATGACCGAAACTAAAACAAACTAGCATGGGACCATCCCATTGTTCTTTTTATAGACATACCTCCCGTAAAATTTATGGTATTTTTATTGTACAGTTAAACATAAAATAAACTGTATGCAATACATATACAATTGTAATGGAAATGGAAGGAGGTGCAAGATATTTATGACAAGCGAATGTATTAGTCAAATTCAGCATTCAACCAAAAGTGGACGAGATCCATTTTCGATGGCAAGATCCCGGCTTGCCTGAGCTTAGCGTTCGTTATATAAAAGTTAGGTAGAATAGAAGGTTTCAATGCAGATGCATACCATTCCCATAATTTAGTATTTTAAATGTCTTTGTTTTTTAATTTATGTATAAATGGAATAAAAAGGAACTGCTTTAGAAGTAAAATAAATGTTTGTTACTTTTCCGGAAAATTCATAAAATTTATTACTTGGAGCCAAGTTAGAAATTCTTCAATTTATTCCAAATTACAAAATTTTGAGTGAACGAATAAATATAATTTTCTAACATTTGGACCAATTTTTTAAAGTTGGTGGACGACAATAATAACCGATTTTGACTTTTNCGAACATACACACACCTGGGGCTATAACTAGAGTGGCGGATTACGTTCGTTGTTGCGGAGAGATCGGATCGGAATGACCAACGACAAGGCGACTGATGAGCAGTAGTATGTGTGCTAGCCGGGAGTGATCAAGGCGAATTTAGTGAGGTAGTGTTAGCCGTATATAAGTAAAAAATTACACTAACAAACTATACGCAGATATTCATACTATCATTGGTACAAATTACAGAAAACTCATCATTTTGACGTAATGTTTTCCACGGCGAACATTTCAGATTCGGCGGTAACACCACCTTATCAAATTCGCCTTGGGAGTGGTCGTGGGTGCTAGCAGCGCGGCAAGAATATAATCACGGCTGCCAACTTTGCTAAAACCGTGCCATTTTTGGCCCTATTTTACTTCCAATGGCACTTAATTTTTCGATTTGTCACAATGTACCAAAATGACACATTTGAAAAATAGTAATATTTCAATAAATTTTTGTGAAATCCTTTGCTTGTTCTTCTTTTTCTCAAATAAAATTTTCTAATTTCTATGGTGTATACAGCTGGTTTACCTTATTTTGGCATTGGACTTGTGTTTTAGGAATGTGGTTCTAATTTGAATGCTAACTGAGAAGATTTAAAAACGAAAGGTAATTTAAAAAAAATTTTTTTTTCTATTTGGCGCATTTTGGCATTTCGTATTCACAGTATGGCACTTTATAGCTAAGATTAGTTGGCAGCCCTGAATACAGTACGAGATTGTGCCAATCGAGCTGAGAGCAAATGGGTGTGACGTCACTTCATAATTTGAACGAAAGTGTAAAGAATAATTTTGAAGAATAAGAGGAAGACGCGATGCGAAATAGTGATGTAAAACTAGGTAGAATTGTACCTACTACCTACGCTCAGGCTTCTTAAATTTGAACGTACATTTGGTACAAGCACATTATTTTAGGTACAGAAGGAAGATGCAGTCCACCAACTATCAAAAATGTTTGCACATAAAAATATATGTTTGCTTTTTAGGTAGGCGTATATACATTTAGGTACGACTTTTTGGCAAATATTTACAGCTAGTGAACCCGCATGGCGTCAAAATGCCCTCATTACCCACTCCATACAAAACATGAAGTGAAAAGGAATGTAGGGTGGAAGGTTTCTTGACTCACAGGAAGGCCTTTCGGAAGGGTTTTAACTGCTGAAATTATCTACTGGATATGGGTGGCGGGACACTGTAGTGTTCAACAGGGAGCAAGTTGACAAATTTGGGGGCTTTGCATATCCAAATACACAAGAGCCGGTTTTTAGGCTCAAATATTAATGAGGTTCATACAAGTGCATCTTGCGTGGAAGATGAGGATAATGCAGGCCTTTTTCTCTTTAGTAGCATGGCATTTGCTAAACTTAGATGGAGCATAAGTTTCTATACTTTCTCAAGTAAAGTGGGCAGGGATTGGAAAGTTTATATCGGTTTTCTCGGCCTAGCAATCTTATCTAAGCTTACAACCTAATATTTAGAAAACTAACCATATATATGTACATTCGAAATATGTACTTACGTATGTAAAAAGCTATCGCAGTACGACCGAGGAAAATTTTATAAATCTTAAAGGTATGGTCAACAATATTTTCCTATTTAAAATTCCAAGTGATAAAAATGTTAAAATGGTTCGTTTAAAATGCATATGTAATATAAGTATATGATTGTGTATAAGTGCATATACACAAAGGAATTCTGTGAACTAAAATTTTAGAATCTCTGGTATAATTGGCTTGTATGCATATGTGGGGATCAGTAAAACTTAGGAAAATATTGGGGTCTTATCACACTAGCGCAACCAAACACTTACTTGTTTGGAAGTAGATTAAGAAACTACATAAATATTCAGTAGTGTTATGTGTTGAAAAAGCAATTCTGCTCAAACGCTTTTGTTAGCAAATTGACCATTAATCTAACGTAGCGGATTTAAGGCAACAAATATTTATTTACTCTTATACATATATAAATATTTATGTGAAAGTGTCTTCGAAACTTTTGGTTAAGAGGACATTCGAAAAGTATCAAGACCATTTGCGGTGGTGGTAAAGTGCATAAAACATGCGATTAGTGTGTGTGTGTGTATGTGTATAAAAATGTGTGCGCGCTTTCAAGTTTGCCGAGCAAAAGCAATGGATTGCCTTCAATAAGTGGATCATTCTTTGTTTGGACAGTTTAATCCTTTTACAGTATATAAATCTTTTAGAATAATTTTCTATTATTTTCTTGGTTAACACATATTTATAAAGGTTTCAATACAACGAGGTCCGAATATCGTTAGCTTAGATTGAAAAGTTAAAACGTCCACTTTTTGTAAATATATCTACAGGGTGCCTTAGACCACCCGCCCACCCCCTCAAAAATGGAGGGAAAGGTTTTTAATGAAAACCGCAAAAATTTCACCTGTATATGTTTACTACAGATTCGATTTGAAGCTTTTTTCTCGGAAGTGCCTTTTTCAACTTCTAAATGACTTTCGGACTTTAACTCGTACTGGCCTTCTTAAATGAGCGAACATATTTTTAGTGAAAAACGAAAAATATGAATTACCAAGGCGAGGATGCTCTATCCTTTGGTCGTATTCCTTTCTTTCATCAGAGCACCGTTCATTGGATTATAAATAATGAGATGTCAAATGAAAGGGATTGGCCTCTATAAAAGCACTAATATTTTTTGTTTTCATTAGGGTTGCTACCTGTTAATTAAATTACCATTTTCAATCATAATAAGCGTAGGCATCAGTTCTGTACCGTCGTTGTCAAACGAAAAGACTTATCTGTGCATTCTTGATAAATTTTTTGTAAAGAAATTTTATCAAGTAAAAGCTCCCTTCGCATTCCGTGTCAATATTTATAAAACAAACAGCTCTACGATTTCCACATGAGTGGAACTGATTTCATTGTCACTTAAAAAAGCCACAAAAAAGCTTTTGACTTAAATATGGTCCATTCCACACAGCCCAATCCACAATCAATATTAGCTCTGATCCAGTACTCCATGAACTTACAGGATTTTACACGAACTTGCAGGAAGTTACAGGAAAAATGTTCCCGTACTCCAAAATCCTCCAAAGTCCTGTAAATGAGAGCGACTTTTGGAGAGTTGTGTAGAGAATGAAGTTGCAAGATTTTACACGAACTTTTTCTTCTGGTAAAATCATGAAAAGTGTCAAGCAATCACTGGTTGACGTTTTTACAGGAAAAATGGCTTTTTTGTTCCCGTACTTTTTGTTGTTGCAC